TTCAGAAAAATGATCAAAACATCCAAAATACTTTCAGGTTCCCTTACCTCCTCTCCTGCCTTCTCCCTTATTTCCTCCTATCATTCCCTACCTCCTCCTCTCCTCCCTTATTTCCTCCTCTCCTTTCCCACCCTCCTCTCCTTTTTTTACCCCCTCCGTCCTTACCTCCCCCTCTCCGTCCTTACCTCCCCCTCTCCGTCCTTACCTCCCCCTCTCCTCTATCACCTCCTTCACTCCTACCCTACCTCCTCCTCTCCTGCCTTATCTCCTTCTCTCCTTCCCTACCTCCCTATGTTTCTCATGTATTCCCCCCCCCCCCCCCGCTCCTCTCTTGTGTAACATACAGACATAAAATATAACTGTTACATGAATAAAGTGAGAACTTATGGTGTTGTAAATACATACAGAGTTTGGTTGGTGTCTATAGAAGTGACATATTAAATCTCCTTTAAAGCCGTAAATAAAGTACTAATATTAAACACATTTTAAAGATGATCCTCTGTGTGACGGACACAAGGACCTGTAAATAATTCACATCTTCTTCTTCTCCCCGTAAACAGAAGGAGCTCTCACTACCTCACTCCTCTCGGAGGCTGCACCCTCGTGACCTTACCCTTCTTCAGTCCATCTCTTGACATATTCCTCCTCTCCCTCTCCTTTATATTTTCCTCCTCCATCTATTGTCTTCCATTGGTTTCTAGGGGCTTAATTACGGGGGGCCGTCTCCGTGGTTGAGGAGGTTTGGGTGTACGAACAGGGGGATCAGCGTGACCCTCGAGGAGAAGCCATCAGACAGCGGCCTTAACAATGATAAATCACCCCGAGCAGAGAGCTACAGATACAGCCGCCGCCCCGCTGATCTCTATAAAATATGGATGGACCAGCGCGCCGAGCGGCGAGGAGCCGAGCCGGATTCTCCAGATTAGCGATTATCAGGCGGAGGGTTATTCTAACGAGGCGGGACGCGGTGTGGGGTTAACTCCATCCACGGGAAACCGATTGAAATTCAGCTCATGAACTGAATATCGGTCATTATTCTCAATGAGAGAGCAGGAAATGTCCTCATTCATGAAGTGGGGTTGAATTAATAATCCCTGAACGGACCGTACCCCCCCCTCCGCCCCATGAGTCAGGATGGGGGTCAATGATCAGAGCTAAAGGTGCAAACCGCAACACGCCAAACACGTTTAATCTCCACCTCTATGTTCACGAATCACCAGGAAGTAGACGGGGGGGAGAAATACATGTCCTGTTCAACCGGAATTCATTTTAATACGTTTTCTGTTTGTTTTTCACCACAGAACGTACATTATTTCACAAAAATCTGCATATTTTAGGGTTCAGGTCGCAGCAGAGAGAAGTGAAGCCATAAAATCTTTATATTTACTGAACAGAACCTCTTTAAATATACCTTAACATTTTTTTTACTTTAGTAAGTTAAAAGCTTTAAAGAGCAAAGTGAAGCTCTACATTTAGCCTTTGCTCTTACATTAATAATTTATTGTCCAAATTAAGGGACAGTTGAGGCATTATCTTCAGATATTTAAGGGATTTAATATTCTCTTCGCAGCAGAGAGAAGTGACACCTTTAAATATTTATATTTACTGAATATAACCTCTTTAAATATACCTTAAAATCAAGCTTTTTTTTATTCCAGGTTAAGGTGGAATCAGTAACTTATAAGCTTTAAGGAGCAAAATGAAGCTCTAAATTCATTTTTGTCTCTTAGATTATGACTATGATGATTATTGTACAAATTAAGGGACAGGTGAGTCATTATCTTCAGATATTTAAGGGATGTTTATATCGTGAAGCCATCAAACAATCTTAATATTTACTAAGCCTCTTTATTCATTGATTAAAATGAACCAGAATAAAGTGGACCGCTCAGAAAGCTTAACAGACGAAGTGAAGCTCTAAACGTAGTTTTTAAAATAACCTTCGCCTTAAAAGGCTAAGAGACGTCTGAGGCGTTATCTTCAGGTATCTGAGGGAGCGCATAGGTTCACGGCCGTCTGTCAGACAGACGGCTAACAGGCTGTGAGGCCAACTGGTCACTGATGACCTCTGGGGTTTCTCCTGGATCAGGTTCAGGCCTCTAATTTCATTTCCAGTCTGGCTCGGCTGCAAGCGGACACCTCAGCGTCCGTCCAGCCGACTCAGAGAGAGGACTCACGGCCGCTAACTGTTAGCATGTTAGCATCTCCAGCTCTGTTTGATTGGCAGGTTGTGTGTTGGTGTCACAAATGTGAACGGATGGATGACTGTAGCTTGCTAGCTAACAAGATATGCGTTCAGTAAATCAGACTTGGGGTTGTTGTTTTATTTCCCTTTTTGATGGAGCTATGCTAACAGTTTCCCCCTGCTTCCAGTCTTTGTGCTAAGCTAGGCTAAACTCATTTGAGATAAAGCTGTAAACCCAATCTTCTGAACAAAACCCAGCTAATAGATCGGTGACTAGGATGTTAGCTAACAACATCCAGCATTAAACCAGAAAGACTTGGAGGTGGACTTGATGAAACTAGGCTAACAGTTCCACCCAGCTTCCAGTCTTTGTGCTAAGCTAGGCTAAACTCATGTTAGAAAAATATGCAAACCATGACTTCTAGCTCTAGTGAACAAAACCCCAGCTGATAGATTGTAGACTAGGTTGTTAGGTGGACTTGGAGGAGGTAGGCTAGCAGTTTCCCCCTGCTTCCAGTCTTTGTGCTAAGCTAGGCTAACCCTAATCTTTGAGTTGATTCCAGAGCAGTTTCCCCATCTTTCAGACACAATCAGCTGTGAGTTTTCCTCTCTCCTGGTTTCCATATTTTACCGTTTATGTTTAGGAGAACAATCACTCTGCTCTGCACCCACAATGCACCACCTGACGCCCTACAACGAATCAATCTGCTCCGTGTCGCCGCCTGAAAACCTCGCCGTCCAAACATCTCTTTCCATCCCTGCTCCTGTCCTCTGCAGAGCGGGCGGCAGGTGAAAGCAAAAGAGAACTGACAAGCCGAGTTAACCCGTCGCTTGCTCGGTCACATGACCCCCCCCCCACAACACGGCGCCCTGTCGCCTCATCGGCCGTGAGTCCAAAAAACATCTTGGAGGAAAAAAAACCCTGTGGTCTTATTGAGTTTTCCTCTGAATAAATAAATATTTAAAAGGCGGAGGGCGTTTGACGTCCCACTCTGGCTGCAAATCAGGCCATCAAAGGGGCCAGACAATGTGTGCTCACTATTAGTATCAATTTACAAATAAACTGCTTTTTTGGTGACTGGATCTCCGATGTCAGATTTTGATAAATGGTTTCAATTTGGCAGCTGCTTTCGAGTGTCAGAGCCCATCTGACGCTCGCCACCCGCCGCCCGCCGCTCGCTGCCTCAAGGAATCTGCCTCAGTTAGACCTCGCAGCCGGCAGCAGCCAAAATAATCTCTTCATACTAACCAGGGCAGGTGTGTGTGTGTGTGCATACTAATGTCTTTCTGTGGGTAAATTTTGAAACCGGGCACATTTCACTACCGATGTTTTTCTACACAAATCTTAAAAGGGGGCTTCCTGTGTTGTGTTTTCTTTTACGCCATTAACTACAAATCACAGGCACTCTTCTTCACTGTTTCCAAAGCCGGCTGTTGTTTAATAGATTTTTAAATGTGCTTTCGCTGCCTTTGCTTTCTTTTTTTCCAGGCAGCTGGTTTTCATTCACTACAGATAAAAAAAAGAAAAAATCCACCTGCAGAGACGTCAGATTAAACATTAAATGTTACCAACTTTAAGAGTCTACAGCGTCAACAAGAGATTATTTTTTATCTATAAGCGCCTTCAAACTAACAAAAATCCAAAGAAATTCAGTTTCCTGTGACATAAACAAAGAGGCATTTAAAGGGATTAAAGATCAAAATTGTTATATAATAATAAATATAACAGTTGAATTATTAATTTGTAAACCAATCTGCATGTTTTAACTGTGATCCACAATGAATAGAACTGGCGATGAGATTTTTACTCCAACTGCGTTCAGACACTTCCACTGATATCATTTTTTTCAGTTTGTACACCTGAACTCGCTTCAATTTCTTTCAACACCTTCGTTCAACAGAAACTTCCAGCTCAATGTATCACAACTTCAACTATTTACAGCCCTTTTCACTTAAAATGAAACTTGAACTATATTCAGAAATTCCATTTTTAACTGCCACTTCAACTTCCTTCAGTATTTCAATTATTGCAGATGTTTCAAATTTTCAGCAGTGAGTTCGTGCACATTTTCCTCTCGTTCAATACTATGTTTCCTCAAACTGGTTTGATGTCGTATTAACTCATAAAATTCAGTTAAATTACAGAATTCTGGAGAAGTTTATCTGATATTTACATCATCGATAAAGTATATTGATCAAATTTCTAGACAAATATTTACAGGTATAAGTGACGAGTATGTTTTCATGAGTCTATCCAGGAAGTGAATCACTGACCATGGACCAATCAGCTCTCATCACCTGCACCACCCTGAACCTCCACCTCCATCAGCGACTCGCCGCCGTCCAAACCTTCCTCCTCGCCAGTTAAGGGGGGAGACAAATCGCAGCAGCGGCAGGATTTTGCTCCCATAAACAGCTGTTTCCTGTTTGAAGGATCAGGACCACAATCTGCCCGGCTGGCAGCGAGGAGGGCCGGGCCGTGCCAAGAGTGTGCTGAGCAGAACCGACAAATCCAATCAAGGCACCTCGGTCCCGCGCTGCATTAAATAGTACGAGAGGACCTTAAAAGTCGTGTGCAGGTGGTCTACGGCATCCACAGAGGGACAAACAGCCACTTCACATTTAAATCAGCCGTTAATGTGGCTGTTATAAAACCTGATTAAAAACACTCAAACGGCAGCTCTGACAGACAGGTGCATTCTGGGACGTACCTGACCAGACCAGCACAGGGCTCACTTCCTGGCCTTTGGGTTTGACCCCTGACCCCTGACCCTGAGCACAGGCAGCAGTGACTTAATGACTCGTCTCCACTGACCTTAGGTAACCTCTCGGGGTCCCCGGGGTGGCGAGGGATGACCTTCTGTAGCCTCTGGAAGCCGTAGTCGATGGTGGGCTCGTTCAAGGCTGTGGGACGGAGAGAGAGAGAGAGAGAGAGAGAGAGAGAGAGAGAGAGAGAGAGAGTGAGAGAGGGGTGAGGACGACCGAGACGAATTCAACCTGACACACAGAAACACACCGAGCATCACAGAAACACACACCGACATCAGAGTGACACACATATAGCAGGTTTTTCTTTAATTCCAGTTAATTTCTAACGGAGTTCGTCCAAACAGAGCGACCACAAATGTCCCAGCTCCACTGCTGCAGGAGGGCCTGCCTTGCTCAAAGGCAGACAGAGTTATTTCCATTGACATAAGCAACGAATGATCACTCATCACACCTTGAAGAAACGTAAGAAAATGTGTAAATTGAATTCATATTTTCAAAAAAAGATGCAAAAACATAAAACAAGTAAAGAATATAAAAATAAATAAAGTAAACTTTCTCACAGACTTTGTTTCGTCTTTGAAGGAATCGTTGCAGTGAGGAAATTCAGGGAAATCTGAAATTTGGGAAGATTTTAAAATCCCCTTGATGGTCATGAAGGAGTCTGAAGGAACGGACCACCTTAAAGCTTAAAGCTTCTAAGTTAGAAAACAGAACTTATTTTAGACTCTGTGTAAACGTCAGTGTTTAGATTCTGAACAAGTTGTAAGAATGATTTACGTGAAGTGATTGTCTGATGTGTGAATATATGAAACCTGTTGAAGGTAAATAAATAAACCTGCAATAAGAAATATTCTTACAACACGACGATGAGTCAGACCCAACATCTGATTCCTTCTTTCACTTTTATTTCCCGTTTAATTCTCAGGTTTCGTGCGACCTCTCAGTGATCTTCAGCTTCAGTTTGTTGGTTCTTATTAACAGTGAACACTAACAGAGAGAGAGAGAGAGAGAGAGAGAGAGAGAGAGAGAGAGAGAGAGACAGAGACAGAGAGAGAGACAGAGAGAGAGAGAGACAGAGAGAGAGACAGAGAGAGAGAGACAGAGAGAGAGAGAGAGAGAGAGAGAGACAGCTGATCTCTCTCTCTCTCTTATCTCCCTGCTGTTTATTAAGTGTGAGACCTCACACTCCATCTGTCCTCCTCGCTCTGCCTTTTTCACCACTAATTCAATCCAACCTTCCCTTTCTTTCTTTTCTCCTCCGCTAAACAATCTGCCTTCCTCCTCCTCCTCCTCCTCCATCCTCTTCCTCCTCCTTCTCCATACGTTGGAGAGAAACACCCGGAAATGAGTTCGGGGGAGATACTTCTCCATAATCAAGTCCATTAATCATAAAAGGCTGTCAAATTTGACTTTGGGGACAATTTGTCAGCCGATCTTGCCCACTCGGCTTTTGTCACCGTTGGCTCTTGTACTCTGTAAGGATGATTGACACACCAAATGCCGGTGAGTAGAATAGCTAGTTTGCGCTAATATGCATAACCGCGGCTTTCATGAATAAGAATAAGGCAGCTCTATATATATATGTATACGGCAGAGCGCAGAGGGGTCTCTCCTTCAAAGGGGCCCCGCCGCCGTTTGTTCACCCGGCGCTCCCAAATAGATGTTATTACCATTATAACAATATTTGTTTTCTTTTTCCCGGGGAATGGAGCGACCGAGAGCTGCTAAATCAAATTTGTCAGAGCGCGTTTCAAGTGGCGGCGGAGGAGAAGAGGGGGGTCTTTCAGGCTGCGACTGGGGTGCGGATGATATCTGAAGGGTGACATGTTGGGAGAGGAAGCAGAGAGTGAATCTATTACCTCCAACGCCAAATGAAAGAAGGGATTTCATTGTCGGATCCCTCCGAAGAGACTTTTTTGGGGGCCGATGCAGAGCAGCAGAGGATGAATGGAGATAATGCAGGCGGAGGACGACACGAGCAGCAATCAGCGCGGTCGAGTCCCGAAAAACCGAATTGCCTCCCCTGACGCCGCGTACATATACATCGTAACTTATGAAACAAGTGAAAGGCACTATGGGAAATGCTGCAATTGAATAAAAAAAAACATTTACAGTCAGAGAGAGAGATCTGTGATGTTTAACTCTTCATCTTCAGAAGGAAACGTCTGATCTGTGAACATCAGGTAACAGTATTTATATCGTATGTTTCTACTTTATTGTCCTTCTGGTTCCACATCTGTCCGATCTCTCGGGATGTTGTACAGATTAAGAAGACAAATATGAGTAATCCGCCTCAAGAACCCTGCAGGACTTCAGATTAACACCAGTCAGACCTTAAAGTTCTCCTCAAAAGATTTAAAGTTAGAAAGAAAACAAGAAGGTATAGTTACACTAATAGTAGTACTTGCAGTTACTGTAGTACTTTCACTAACAGCTGTAGGCCTACTGATAGTAATAGACACAAACTGGTCCTGAAGGACCCACCAGTACTGGATGGTGTGGAATAATCTAATGTGGACTTCTTAAGAATGAAGGTTACTAATGTAACTTAGTTCTATGATTGCTTGTACTTTGGGGTCATGAAGCACAAGGCAGAGTTTCTATTTTAAAACTAACGACTTTTCATATTTCTTTCTAAAATATATACGTAGAAGAAGTGGACTGTTATAATTACGATTTAACATAAAATACATTTTAAAAACGTTGCGGAAAATCTCAACGGTACAATGTCAAAGCAGTAGTTTGTCGCCAACGGAAGACGCCATGTTTATCTTTTCATTTTGATATTACATCAACTAAATCACATTTAGACCCATCGTCCCCCAAATTGAACCTTAATATTTTATAAACTTTCACACGCTCTGTGATTCATTTGTTCCTGCATCCTGCTGGGATTCGAACCGACGACCTCCTGAATTAAAAAAACGAGGGAGGGGTGATCTCTTCTGTTCGTCGTCATTATCATCATGGGAAACAAAGACAGAGGCTTTTAATGAACCTCTGGACCCCCCCCCCCCCCCCACATTACTTCCTCTTATTAAAATCTCGCCGCTCTTTGACCCCAGCGCCCCATTGGCTGCCTGCAGGGCCCCGTACTGCCTCCCAGCCAATCGATACCGGCTGCCTCCCTGCAAAGAGCCCGAGTAATTGGAGAGCGGTGGCTGGCAGCGCGAACCCTGACCCCCCCCCCCACCCCCCACGCATTACACCGCCCATATGAAGACAGATTGCCTGATTTAGTGTAAACATATGCTGCAATTCCAGGCATCAGTGCCACTTTCTCCATCGTAATTTGTATTGATTTTTCTCTCTCTCTCTCTGTCTTTTTTTTTTCCTGTGCGGCCGATGTTTTCTCCTGCTGTCTGATGTTTTTTGATAAATCAGAAAAGGAGGAGAGGGAGATAATTCAGAGGTGAGAGGAGAGGAGGGGGATTCTTTATACATTTAATCAAGTATTTATCGCTCTCTCTCTCTCTCCCCCCGTTTGTTTTTTCTCTCTCTCTCTCCTCTCTGTGAAAGTGATCAAACGGTTGGTTGGCGTCCTGCTGATCGGAGCGCTCTGTTATTAGGCGACTAAGTGACTGAGGAGAGGAAGAGGAGGGGGGGAGACGGGAGAAGAAAGGGGAGGCGAGGTTACGTGTTAAACTAATTTCTTGACGGCAGATTTGCAGCATCAGAGGAGATGAGCAGACGCAGCGAACAGCAGGTCAGAGCTGTGAATATTTACACATTTATGAGGCGTTCACTTCCTCCAGATACTAAAACCATGTGAACATCTGCAGACTGACTGATGACGGTCCTGCTTGATTAATAATGTTCAAATAATCAGAACGGTCGCTATTAAAAGGAGCTTTAACAGTCAAATAAAAGCCAGTGTCACATATATACTGTATATATATATATATATATATATATATATATATATATACAGTATATATAAAATATACTTTTACATACAGTAAAATTAAACCAGAAGGCAATATAAAATAATACGATGAGAGGACAGTAAAAGGGAATAATATGAGTAAGATATTCAGTTTACATAAAACCGTAAAGGCAGCAGAGGAACTACTACAGAAGAATGTAGTACTGAGAGAGCAGTGTGTATACTAGTACTAGTTACAGTAATATACGTACTGCAGTAGTAGGCCTACTTACAGTAATAGTATGACTTGCATTTACAGTAGTATTATTATTAACAGCAGTAGGCCTACTTATGGAAATAGTAGTACTTACCGTTCCAGTAGTACTTTCATCAATAGTAGTACTTGCAATAACAGTAATACTTGCTGTAACAGTAGTACTTTCAGTAATAGTAGTACTTGCGGTAATAAAAGAGGTTTATAAAATCAATAAAGTACGAAGTATCTACTACTAGAGACTACAAGTGATACTTAGTACTAAGTACAGAGTATCATATTTAGTCTCATGTTTGTATTCAGATCTACCTATTGTTTCAAAATAAAAGATCTAACTGTTGTTAAAAATAAAAGCGTGTTAAAACTGTTCACACAGACCCACAGCTCGGACCACTTTCCCAGGAGGCTTTGCTGTTCAGACTCATGAACAAAAGGCCTCGCTGACCAATCACAGCGCCGGCCCGACAGCCTGCTCCCATGGTAACGCCTGGCTTCCCTCAACACATGCACTCTTTGGTCTCACCCCGAAGGTGTCAGAGGTGTAGTCGGGGTCACAGCACAACAACAACGTCATCAGAGTGTCAGAGTGAGACGACACAGACCTGAAACCAGCAACACGTCTGGACCTGAACCCAGATACCCTGAAACCCAGGACCCTGAAGGACCGGTGTGACCGGGGTGATCCAGGTTTACTGTGTCCTAATACTATAAAACACACATGTTGACAGTGTTTGCTTTGGCTTTAGGATCTCAAGAAATTATTTTTCTTTCTAATTTATTTTGTGCTGAAACAGAAATCAACAACAGATATAAAAAATAAAAAAAACTGCCAACTTTAAGTCTGAAATCTTCCCAAAGGTTCTTCACTTTATTGCAGTATTTACTGTGATTCCAGCTGTTCTATCTCAGAGACGCACTGCATTGTGGGACAACAGTTGTCTCCAGTGGTTTCAAAAATAAGGAAATGGTGTCCCACAAGGTTCAATACGAGGTCCTCTTAAATCAT